TAGGCGGGAAATCACAGTTGACATCATTATCTTTATTAAGGTGCAGGTTGTGAAAAAGCAAAACCCCTCTTAAATTTTAAGAATCTGTTCTGATATTTAAAAGAAATTTAAAAATTTTTTCTATGTATCATCTAAAATGGTTTCTGCTCCTGCCTGGTTCAATTCTCTCAGCTTCATGGACATCTTGGGGAGCTGTTTGGAGTGTCCATGCAGACGTGCGTCATCTGTGCACTTTCTTAGCTGAGATAACGGTGCTCTGAGCCCCACTGCTAAGGTTAACCTGTACTCTGCAGAAGGACAACAGATGGAATTTCTGGTTTGCAGCCACTGCAGAAAAATAAAAACATGTTCCAAAGGGAAAAGGATCTTGTATTTCTGCGTTTGAACCTTTGATCTGCATTCACATCTGAAGGGAAGGCTAGACCTTTTGGTGGAGACACATGGCTTTGCATCTGTGAAAACACAGCTGTATATCGCAAAACAAAACTAGTGGAAAATACAATGGTTTTGCTGTGTCAGGCTAGCTGCTAATGCTCAAATTCTATACAAATATTGTCTTTTGATAGCTTTGACAAAAATCTGTCTTGACTTTCTATATTATTGTTCAGTGATGTTTTATTCTTTTAAATTCAGATTTTGAGCTTTGTAGCGGTTAAGGCCCATGGATCTCTTTCTCTCGTCTTTTCTTTTAAAAAGGCAATAAAACAAATGGCTTGTGATTAGATCATAATAACATTATCTAAATTCCTAACTAATTGGGAGTGATGGGGGGGGGGGAGCAAACCCTTAAAAAAAGGTACAGTTCTAACTTGATCCCTCATCCTGAAAATCTTGTATTTTTAAAGATAATATTGCATGGGCTTTGTGCTGCAAGTTACATTCTGAAAGGCCTCTCAAGCCCTCTGGAAACTTAGCTAGTCTGTTTGGAGCAATTAAGATTTGTTATGGAGTGAATTAGCAGCTCGGCTTTCCTTCATCTTTCAATAGTCGTCTTCAGCGAGTTTCTTTATCAGGGTTTCCCAGTAATGTAAGCCAAGTTTGTTTCATTAGTAGGCATTTGCCTGGAACCTCCATGTTTCCTCTCAGTCCCTGACACAGAGCCCGTCTGTGCGCCTGCCTTATCCTGCCCGGTGTGGTTGGTTTCCTACTATTGAATTGGCAGCCTTTTCCGTCCCTCCCCTTTCCGTTCAAGTGCTGGCCCCTCTCGGCCCTCCCCACTCCCTGCCATAGGAGCGGGGTTCCCAGAGGTGATGGACAAAAGATGAGGATGAGTTTGATGTGCAAGCAGAAAGCCGCCTGAGTGTCCCACTCTGCAGAGGTGTCCCTCACATTTTTCTGAAAGGGGCCAAGTGAAGAGGGAGCTATTATGCAGCCACCCTCCCTACCCTCTTCGGCAACAGCCGCTTCGTGGGCAAGTGATTTGGGAGATGAACCGTGATTTTCTTTAAGAGGGATAATTTTATTTTTATCGATAATAATAACAGCCTTTACTGTTAATCACGCCACTGGGAAGAGCCAGAGCTAGATAACAAGTCCTTCCTTACACCAAGAAAGTTTCCCCTTTGAAGTGCTAGTCGCTCCTCACCCTTCCAGGAGGGAAGAGGGGAAAGAAAACAAGTGTGAAGATCTGAAGCCACTGAGGAATGCTGAACTGATGTCTTTCCTCTCGGCATCCCTGCCCCTCTCAACAGTCCTCCCCTCCTTCCCCTCCCTGCCCTTTGAAACTGCCGGGCTGGGGTGGTAGGAGCTTCCAGCCTGGGTCTGTTGTGGCCACAGGCCGTATCTCCCAAGCCATGGGGTGGTGGCAGTATAGAGGAGGAAGGAGAGGGACAAGAAGCCAGAGGAAGGTGGTCGAGCATCATGCAGATCCTCTGTAGGCTTATGGCCGAAGGCTTTATCCATTGTGATGGCAGAAAAACCAACCAACAAAAAACCCCCAAAACAAACAAAAAAGCCTTCCCCTAATTCCAAACCCTCCTTCACAGCTGCATTTTGTTCCTGGGACTGTTGGTGTCACTAGAGCCTCTTTTTTTGCAGTTCTAGAAGATATTGTCAAGGACTTGTCAAGCCTATTAATTTTTCAGGCAGAACAGATAGATCAAGCCTGCCTTTCATGCGCTGCTTCCTGATTTAGTATTCAAAGGTAGAGGATCCTACCTTCTCTTGCTTTACATAATTAAAGAAGGTTGTTTTTCCCCCAGTGGGTATAAACTAGTCACAAATAGTATTTTTTGAAGTGAAAGGTCTAACTTTTTATATAACATCTGTTCTTATGCTCTTTTCTAAATAGAACCAATATTTATTTTTTGCTGTTACTAAGTTGTATACCATTCACCCTGATTTTAATTTCTGACAGATGGGGTTAGAAACAGTGTTTCCCCTTCTGGTGCATTCCCTTAAGTTTAAAGATGTATATGTCTGTTCGGACAAACTGATAGCACAATTAAAAACAAAACTCTGCAATCGTCAACTGCCCTGACTCGTCTATTACTCTTGATTTTATTTTACACTACAGCATTCTAAAGTTCACTTATGTGGACTTTCACTTGTTTCCATCTGCTGCGTTTAATAACAAATTGTGACCCTCACCACCACTTCAGAGCCTTTTGTGTTCTTATCTGTGCATTTCAATACCTTCTGGAGAAGTGCCTTAGGTTTTACTACATATGCAAAAAGCTCGGCTTGAATTTTTGACACCCCCCTCTCCATTTGTTGGTAGAGTTCTGTTTTCTATTGTCTGTCTGGTTGTTGTTGTTGGCAAAAGTCATTTGTTTAACGATGCCTGCCTGAGATACGATGCCCCATTCTTTACTGGAACAAAATCCAAAAATATCCCGAAGTGTTTTAAAAATTAATGTATGCTGTTGAAACTGTTACATATTTACATAGTTTTATTTTTCCCTCACAAGGCGGATAATATTTTAAAGGTACTAGGTAGTAATCGTCACCAGAAACCAATTAAAACCTCCAGGATTATATAAAAAACCGGTTTGGCGGTATAAATAATTGATACCTAGAAATGAAGCAGCCGCTCCGAGCAGGGCCCTGCTGTACACGGCTGGCAGTGAGAGCCGTCCCTGCACTCACACGAACCAGGGACCATGCCCCAGCATCATGTCGCTTGGGTTGTCAAACTTGATAATAAAGCCACATGGAAACATATTTTTAAAAAATCTCCTTTTTTTTTGTAGATAAGAGAAATAGTTGACATTATTTTCAGGTGTTTGAATTCTTAGAGAAAAGGAACAAATATCCAGACTCCTCATGAGTTAGGTGTGAACAGAATAAAGTGGGGCACTGTCCCAACCCATCTAGCTTTTAAAAATGATGTGATTAAAAAAGGACATCTGAGAACAAATTTATGAAGTTGTTATGGCAACTGAAACACTTGGATTGAAATGTGTGTATCTGCAACATGAAAGGTTGTAGGAAGCCGAGAAATAAGCACGGCATTGTATTTGGGAAAGAAGATTGAGCAGTGGTAGCCAAATATTATTCCTCTGTCGGTCATCATTCAGGGTTACTGCCTTGATTTCCACTTTTTAAAATGTGTGGTGATTGATGTTTTCCCAGACTGTGTCGCCCGGAGTCATCAGGCCTTGTACCAGCGTTTGCTCATTGGTCGTTTGACCTGTTGAGAATATACTCTCCGCCGTATTGTGTTCAATGTGGAGATTGCATTTTTAGAGTTGCCTCAGCATTTGTCCATAAGTTTACACTTCTGTGTTCTCATATTAATGTTCTTGTTTGTGAATGGTCTGTGGTCTTTTCATTCACTATCTCCCCCAACCCAAGCCACCAACAAACAGTAGCGCTCAAAGGAGTCAAAATGTTTGAATATTCCCTAGACTTCTCTCCTCTCTTCTAAAAGCTGTTTATCCTGTCTACATAACTTGTTCTCCTCTTAATTTCTCATGCTTTTTTTTCCCTCTCCAGTTTTGGGTTGTCAGACTTGATAATAAGGCCACATGGAAAAAGATTTTTTTTTAAATCTCCTTTTTCTGTAGATAAGAGAAATAGTTGACATTATTTTTAGGTGTTTGAATTCTTAGAGAAAAGGAACAAGTACCCAGACTTCTCATGAGTTAGGTGTGAACAGAATAAAGTGGGGCACAGTTTTAAAACCCGGCAAGGATTTTAAAAATTAACACCTACAAATTTGTATTACAGTGTGTTGGAAAATCAAAACTTTAAGGCACATCCAGAATGCTTCAGTTTTTTCAGGCATAAGATTTCAGATCTATACAGTATCTAGAAAATTGTCTTAAAAATATTACTACAGATTTCTTGCAATATATTTGGATATTCTTTTTCAAATGGAAAGACAGTTAAATGTCAGTTATAATAATTTTAGTAGACTATTTCATAAGAAATATGCTATTCTAATTGAAAAAAAAGTTTGACACTGAAAAATACATTTATATCGAAAAACTCAAATGAAATTGCTTATGCGTATTGATTGTTGAACGTTGACTAATGATTATTTGGTCTCCTTGATTTTAAGCATAATACTTTTTACTTTGATTAGTCTTAATTCCTAAAGTTAAGCTAAGTGAAGTAAAAGAGAAAAAAAAAGTAAAATAATTTTTAGAAAATTTTATTTTCCTTAAGTCATGAATTAGTTTTTTACTCTTACTGAAATTACTCAGAAATATTTAGTTGGACGTGAGGGTATAATATGAAAACTGCCCTTATATAATTGGAGTGTTTTTCTAATCTTTAAAGATTGAGATCAAAACATTTTTCTATTCTATTGCAAAATTAACTGCTGTTAATCTGTCAGACTAATTATTCATTTTAAATATTTGATTAAACCTGTGCCTTTGTGTTTTAAAATCCCTTTTTGCATATGCACATGAAAGTGATTCTATTTTGACATAACTCCCTTGTTTGAAAATCCATAGATCAAAAATGGTATAAAAATTTAAAAGAATGTTTCAAAAGAATTAAGAATTTGGAGCCTGCACATTTTTTACATTAATAAATTTCCTTTTTCCTTTAGTCTTTCCATTTTAAGAATTTTTTTAAAAAAGTATGATTTTGATGCTTCCAAAGTGGATACTATTTTATTTCAGGTGGGTCGTTTAATAGTTTGTTGATGTTTTCAAGGTCTCTAAACAAAGTCTGATGTGTTAACAGTCTTATTAACGATGTTAAAATAGAATTAACAGCTTGTGGATGCCTCCAGAGCACAATAGCCTGTCAACCTCTCCTGCCCCCTTATAAATTGTACCCCTGCTGTCTTCCCTTTGTTTCATGCCCAATCAGCAAACTAAACTTTTGTGGAGGGAGAAGGCAGTTCAAGTGTTTCTGCTGCAGCAGAAGGGAGGAGCTAATGTGGAATTTACTGGGAGACCAATCAGTGCTGGAGGGAAGAATGACCCCAAATTGGGAAGAAGCACTGTGTTGACCTGCTTGGCTCACTGACCTTTTCTTGCTATTCTGTCGCTATAAAGAGGTTTACTCTGGGTGCCCCGTATTTTATGATGCTTTTATTAAGGCCACAGAAGTTTCAGAAGTTTGGGATTATTTAAGATCCATCTCAGCACAGATTTCATTGTGCTTTGTGATCTTTAGTAATTTGACTAGATGTTAGCACTCAACATCATTTTTTAAAAATTTGGCACAGCAAGTAATAGTTGTTGTTGTTTTTTAAGTGGAATAGGATTTCATCAATTATCTTGAGCCAAAATTGATTCTAAATCTTTTCTAGTGTCTCTTCCCCATAGCTACTTTTATGGAAAGAATAAGATTAGCTACTGATGTTAGACCACTGGCCTTATTTTGTTGAATTTATGCTTTGAAAAAATATATTTATATCTTCTAAGTCTTTAAAACAATGCCTTTGCCAGGCAGTGGTTATGATGAGTTGAAAATAAAGATTATTAGTAGGTTTATTTTTTTATTAGTTTTCCTAATTTGACACATTGTCGTATTTATTAAGTACAGATTTATGGGCCAACCTGACAAATGAGTGATACCATCTTATCCTTTGCTACCGTCTGATTTAATAACTTATAAAGCGTATCACATTTATAAAGTATTTCCCAATTCTCATTGAGTGTCACTCTAGTTTTGGTAAGAGATGTGACATTATTGAGAATTAAGTATTTTTAGATTGCACAAGCACTTTCCTTGTCATTTATTGGTGTCGTTCTTTCTTGTAATGTGGTTTTTTGTTTATGTTTACTTTTCAACTGGCCACTGTTCAGTGGCTTAAAATAGAGCTCTGAGATTCGAGATGGTCACTGTCAGCACAAAGGAAAAACGTCTTGGACGCAGGATACTGAACATTTTCTTTATACTGAGTATAAGTGAAATTACTCAAATGCATGCATGGGGAATGAGATACAGTTAAATGAATTATGGTTTCAAAATATGACTGTTTTGTCAAGGAGTACACCAGAATGAAGACAGGGCAGTGCAAGGTTAGTGCTTGTCTTAGCTCGTGTTGTGTTACTTAGGTGAGCCTCAAGGGGAATATTTTCTTATACTTGATAAACCCTAGAGATGTGCATCTATTGATTGAGCAGTGTGTGAAACTGGAGCACACAGCCTCGTTTGAGGCTAGCCACAAACACGGGGTAAATAATAACGTGTTCGGGCTGGCATTTTTGAACATGTGCTGCTTCATCTGGGTCATTTTACCTTGCCGAGGAAGAATGTGTCTGCAGTAGTTTACCCACGACTGTTACCTGCTGGTCATTTTTACCCAAAGCAGTCGTTGCTGCCCACCCCTACCCCATGGCCTACTGTGTCTTCACCTTCCCCTGTTGGGCAGCAAAACCATCTCCCTACCCAGTGTAACTGACATTTTTCTGTGTGCTTGCTGAATGAGCACTCCAGGTCTTGGTGTTGGGGACATGCCTAGGGATGTGGGCACCCCACTGTCTTGGAGACCAAACATCAGTGCTGTGGCCACCTGATGGAAGTGTCCAGTGTATGACTATATAACTGGAGGATGCCAAGAAGGCCAAAGGGATTAACAACAAACAAAGAAGGCTTGTCACCTTTGTACAGAAGCCAGCTGGCTTCTCCCAGAGACAACCTGAGCTGCTCCATTGTCACCTAAGCTGGGTTCCTAGGGACCCTCTTTGCTATATTATTCCAGGAGCATATTCAGGCTTGGTCACTGTAGGGCAGGGCGAAGAATGAACTGGGAGCCCACTGCTATGACCCACTTCTTTGTTGATGATGCAGGGAGAGATAAGACCGCAAATTTAATGAAATTTTAATAATCAGTATAATTTTTCTCTTTAAAGACTTTGCAAGTACCATTTATCCTCCAAAAGTTCTCTCTTTATGGTTGATTTTATAAACTTGAAGGAAAAAAAGTCAGTGGTACCAACATTCGCCTTAGTCAGTGACCTAAGTGGATTATAACTCTTGACCACTGACATTTACCGAGATAATCAGGGTCATAGACACAGAGCTCTGTGACCAGTCCCCTCGGAGAAGTTTTCATGTGCTGTTAGAATTCTGAATTGGTCACAGCAACCTTTAGGAAAGGAAAAGATAAAAATAAAGTTTTTGGCAATTTAACTGTTTACTTCTGTATTTTAAAATTTGTCAAATGTAGAAATAATTTGTCTTTGAAACTCATTAATTCCCTGAAGTGTATACTTTAAAGCCAATTGTGAAATGTTGCTTTAGAAAGAATTGGTATAAATGTGCTTCTTTATTTAATCATAAGGGAGATTTGAAGAAAGGATTTTTTTCAGTATGTTTTCCCCCCCTAAGAATATGAAATTATTGTTATTATAATTACTAATGATACCTTATATTTGCACAGCACTTTATAATTTTTAATGTACTTTTACAAACATTATTAAATGTAATCCTTGAACGTGTTCTATAGAACAATAATATTATCCTGGTTTTATGGATGAGGAAACAATAAATGCCTATACTTGTTAACATGCCATATAGTGCCAGATTGTATTTCAGAGAATTCTATATTTTAGGAAATATATTTGGTGTGCAAAATGGTTAGAAACACAAATCTGGGACTGAATTTATTTTGGTTCCACGTATAGCTATAAAAGAGGACAAAAAACAGGAATGAAATTGATATTATTCAATCCCCCTTTTAATGCACAATTGCATGAATTTTGGCTTTATGATTGCTACATTTTCTTGTGTTTCATGTGTAAAATACCATAGTAATATGCTACATAATTACAGCATAATAAAATAAAAAATTTTCCCCATATTTTTAAAGATAGGAATTATCATCACAATATCATAACAGAATAATGTTTTCCAATTAAAGGGTAGTCTGGTTTGTATTTTAAAATGTGATCTTTTTCTTATGAAATCTCAAAATGGGCAAAATATATTTACTCTTAAAAATTTTTTTTTTTTTCACAATTGTAGCCAGGGTATTTGTTTTGGGGCAATTTACTGCTACCATTCAGAAACAGAGCTGTATTATTGAGCACAGGGAAATGTGATTAGTGCTTCCAAGAATTATTATAGCACAGCAAGACAGGGAAACAGTCCAAGTGCTAAAGGTTAGAAACAATTTATAAAAACTTTACTTGTTAAAAAAAAACATGTTTCTTAAGAATAATTAAAATTGTCTAAGAGATTCTTGACTATGTTTCATTATAATATTTCCATAAAATTATTTTGGTTGAGGGGAGCAAAGGAGGAAGAACTAAAATGGGAAAAAGGACAAAATTTTTTTCTGTTTGACAAGTTCCAAAATCTTATCAATATGGTTTCAATGAAAAAAAAAATTAAAGTAAACTTTCATATGGTAACCCTAGGAAAAGTCTCTGAAAATGGTCCAAAAGATTTAAAAAATAAATAAAACTCTGGGACAATAATCATTTTATGAAAAAAAAAGAAAAGAATTTCACTAGGGCCACTCTTAGAATCAAATCAAGCTTCATTTCTATCTTTAATAATGCTTATCAAGCATACATTTTGTGTTCTAGAAGTTCAGAGGAGGAAAAAACTACTATTATATGTCCAGGGTTTTCTTTAAACAACTCTAACATCAAAATGGCCAAACTGTTGGACTGATTCGTGTTAGATAAAACAGATGGGATTCCCAGATCGTGCACCGTTCAGCCGTTTGATGGAATTCGCGCCACCCTGACCAGCGAGCCCAGATGGCGCTTAAATCTGTCACTCTTTAACGACCCTACTGTTTTTTAAAAATATTTTTATATTTGAGCCCATTCGGTTAATCTGAGAGATTAATCATTTCCAAGATATGTCGGGGGGGGGGGGCTTTACTTCGGTTTTCATCTGGAGCAGCTGAGGATGAGGAGAATGAAGAGACCTCCCAAATACAAGACTACCTGCTAGAAGGATCGTGGGTCAAGAGGCTTGGTGGATCTCGGGCTTTGGAACATTTTCTAGGCAGCAAGGCCGAGAGGCCACATGGAGAATAGTAGTGATGGGAGGTTAAGGGAAGAGAGGATGGACATTTGGAAAGGGTCTGGGGTGGTGGAGGTAAAGAGATTTCTCCCAGAGAAAAAGATTGCATTGCCAAGCTTAGACCCAGCATGGGGCTGAGTGCTGACTGACCGCAACAGAGTGGCTTTGAGCAGTGTGACCCTCACCACATCCGGATGACTCCAGTGGTGTGCCACCTGGAGCAGACCCCAGAGATAGGCTACAACGTGATAAGACCCTGAGATGATTCTAGAAAGAGTCTGTTCTGCACCAGAACTTTCACAGGGTTTCTTTTTCTTCTTCTTCTTTCTTAAATTATTATTTTGAGTCAGTCTACTGAAATGCTTCAGTGATTTGGGGCATGAGATACTGGCCAGCTCCTCCTTCCGAAATCTCTAACCTTGGATACATTTTCAGAGTGTCTGTCTTGGAACTGCCTTCTATTCCTGCTGGGACAGGAAAGGGAAAAAAATGAATGGTTTTTCATTATGCAGACTTGGGTTTTTTTTTGTTTTTTTTTTGTCTTTGAATCAGATGTACCAGGTGTCAAAATATGGTGCAGAATTTATACCATTAATGAGAAAATTTCCACTGACCCAAAAAGCCACCAGGGACGGGCAAACCGCCTACATTAACATTTAAAATGCCTTGCCGACTTTAAAGATGTTCCTGGTGGTATTTGGACTGCTCGGTGGTAGTTTCCTGTTTGCAAGTGACACTGCCTATACTTGCGGGTCCATGGAACACTTGCTGTGGTGTCTCACCCTTGTGTGTGGCAGAGCACATGGATGTCATCCCAAGGTCCTGTGCCCACCTGAATGCCTGCATAAAGAAGACACATGAGAATTCTGCTTTGGGGTTTTCCTGAATTAAAAGACTTCATGCAGACCCAATAGTGAGCAGAGAAGCAAGTTGGGTTGGAAGGTTCTTTTGGAATCTTTAGAGTCTGGGGGGCTCCCAGACCCAGGGTCTGTCAGAAATCACTACTCAGCCAGAATGAGAAGGGAGGGGGGGGGAGCTGACACTTGTCACTCCAGTAACCATCCCATGGCAGGTAAAGCTAGGTAAATTCTGAACAGAGCAGAAGAACACTGAACACATAATATGTTTTCATTATAACTCTACTGTAAACATGCAACTGTCCCTCTCTCTCCCCGTCTCTCTTCTCCTCCCACTCTCTTTCCCTCCCTCTCTTTCTGCTGTCTCTTTCTCACATACACCCAGATTATGGAACGGATTGCAGTGTAGTCCTGGTTAAAGGACATTGCTTTTCATAAACAATAAGGCTGCCTTGCATTTAATTCTGTAACAGGTTTAGGATTTGATGGTAATCAGTAAGACTCAATTTTGTATGTATGTGTGTTGTGTCTTGGCCTCAATTTTCTAGGTAGTCTTTGGGTGTTTACATAGTAAAATTGAACATCTTAGTGGAAATAGCTAACGTTCATTCTAAAAATGGTTTTTATGAAGTCATATGATATATTTGGCATTATCTAAAAAACTAATTTCTTACCTTTCTGACAAGAGTAGTTATTTCTGATAGTCAAAATAAACATCCTCTCTTAAATTTTACCAATCAATTCACTCCATACTCACCTGGTTTTCTCTAAAGACTAAAATATCCCTAATATTCTTGTTGGCAAAGGATACATGTATTGGAAGAATTCTGTGGCCACCTGAGAAATAAGGCTTGCCCATCATTTTTCATTAATGCTCCTCAAGTAATTAAGTATCAAAAGATGAAGAGCAAAATATAAAACTTTACTGTTAATGAACTATTGGTTTTAGTAAGTAGAAAAAAGAGATAAACTAACAAGTCTAATGCCTATGTCTAAACTCCCTTGTTGGGCATGATGCTGTCCCAGTAACCCTAGCAGGGCTTTGGGTTCCTGGCTTCCAGAACTGAGGATTTTTCTGGCCAGTTCAAGGTGCTGGAGCCAATCCAGGAAATAGGATTAAGGGATAAAGCCAAAGCCAAACCTAAAGGCCATGGTACAGTTGGTGGAATCAAGGTGTTAAT